GCAAGGCTTGCAGCAGCAAAAACAGAATGAGCGTCAGGGTCCCGTTTGCACATGTCGCATGCATCCAGTCGTGGCAGTACTGGGAGACGGGACGCAGGATGCTTCGCAGGTTCTGCGCCATGAGCAACCCATGCGGCTCCAGATTGAAGCCGGTGGCTTGCTGCCACCGCGCCAGCTCCTGTTGGGAACAGCCATCGTCGGCTCGTTTCTTCAAGCGGTCCACGCTCTCGAAGACATCGCTGTCGGTGCAAAGCGCCAAGTCGCTCTTGCGGAGCAAATCACACACTCCGGAGAAGACCTCGTCGTCCTCCTCCCCATGGATGTCTTTGCTGCTATTGAAAGCACACGCATTCTTGCAAAGCATGCAGAACCTGCTCCCAGCATCGCCTTTAATTCCAAAAACAAATTTTTGGGCGGCGCCATCCTGGAGAAACATGCCCATCCGAAAAAACAGCCGCAAAGGCTCCCCTGCCGGGTCCTTCACCACGAGACCTTGCTGCGGAGAGACTTTTTCGCAGAAGATGCGCTCGAGCATGACTCGGACCACTTGGCCAATGCCAGCACTCAACCCCTGCACAAGACTGCTTCGGAAAACGCCCGCTACCAGCCACGCAGGCTCATGGGTTAAATGCACACCGAATTCCACGAAGCTGCAGTAAGCGACCCAAATTTTGCGACTCTGGCGATTCGCCAGCACGTTGCCAGGGGCCACCTCGTCGAGGTAAAGCACGAATTGCCATGGATGCTCCATGGAGCAAGGCACTCGGGCGTATGTTGCCTTCACCAGCTGTGTGAAGCTCCCGCCTTGCCCGAAGGCAGCAGCGAGCAAAGAGGCGACGTTCACCATGAGCGCTCCTGGCTGCTTGAGGCCACTTTTGCTTGCAACGAGATTGCAGCGGTCCAGTAAGGGACCGTACATGCAGCCCTTCTGCAGCTCAGCCCTTGTGGCTTCCCGCATATGATGCGCTTGGTGCAGCTCGGGCACGCCCGTTTCTGCGACCTCCGCCAGAATGGCGCTCAAAGCAGCTTTGCTCACGTGAGGCACCTTCCGTCTCAGGGTATCGACCTTCTGCAGCTTCGCAGGCCGGTC